GTTATTTTAAGATGGTGATGGATTACAGGGGATTTTGGTTGGAGATTTTTAAATTATTTTCGAAACAATGGTTATAATAAGAAAATATAATGTTATAAGGTTTTGAAGTGACATATATCTGGAAAAGGACATGAGTTGAAATCAAACAAAAACTTTTGTGATATACTTTTCCTGTAAAACAAGGTTCTTTTCTCATTCTTTCGTTCAATGCTACCAAATTTTGGAATTTAGAACATCGCCGTCGGCAGTGGAAAAGGTCAATTAAGATTGAATTTTATGATCTTATGCAGAGAAATGCAGTGCCGGTTCTCGTAGGAAAGCAGTAAGTCGGCGACTCAGTGCTTCTTCTCTCAGTTTGACTTGCACTACTTTAGAATTATTTTCAACTGCGATTTTCTGGAACAATTTTTATGTAAAGAAATTATAAAAATTTTTAAAAATATCGAAATTTTTTAATGAAATTTTACTTTTTTAGAAATAATTTATTTTATGATTATTTTTTGTAATTTTAAAATTTTAAAAATTAAAAATATAAAATAATAATATTCAGAAATTTCCATATGATATAAGAATTTAAAGTGGTGTATTTAAAAGGTAAAAATTCTTGTTGAAAATCTCTCGTTTCAGTAAGTAATTCTACAATAATAATATTACATAAAACTAATAAATATTATTAAAAATAAGAAAAATAATTTAAAATAAATATAAAAAATTTATGTCTGTAAAAGCATTATTATTCTGTTAAGTTATATAGATTATACCAAAATAAGAATCATATAATATTTACTTTGAAAATATTTAATCAAGTATATTAAGGTAAAAGTGTTATAATGATAATACAATGATAGTTTTTCAATATTTTGAATAACTTTTGAAGGTAAAAGAAAGATGACAAAGAAGATTTGTAATTTAATATATAAATATTTATACTAATAAATATATTTCATGATACCTTTCAACCAGATGTTGTTGGGTGATGTTAGGTAACATATTTGCTATCTTTAATATTTCTTGATTTTTATGGTCAACATCCTATTATATTTTAACACTTTAATTCTCAAATTTTATTAAACATAAAAGACGTAAAAATAATAACTCATTTGATACATTAATAGGCAAATTTCAAATTGTTATTATGCAAATATATGATAAAAAGTTCAGGGTAACCACGTTTTAACATTTCGATTCTTCAACTTTTCTTCAGCAGATTTTAAAACAGAAAATTACTTTCATAAATTTATTGATTTCTTTTATTTTAGAATAAAAATATTAATAAGTTAAATATGTTTATTACTTTTATCAACCTATTTATAATAAATATATTAAAAATATAAGGAGTGAAATATTTTATTTTGTCTATCATATTCATCAAATTATTCATAAACTTTCTCTATCTCTTAAAATAAAAAACTGCTCCGATATTTTTTCTATCTTTTCAAATTTATCCATTCATTCTCTCTTAAATATTCTCTCTCATCCAAATACACCAATAAAAAAAATATTTATCAACAACAAATAAGTAAAAATAAAATACAAAAATGTGAATATAAAATATATTAAAAAAAGCACAACATAAACTCTTAGAATGTGGTTTATAACCATTACAAGAAAGAGTGTTATACAATTCATCATTATTGTCTAACTTGCTTTAAACATTCAATTAAAACACTGACAAATTGAAAGAAAATGTAAGCAATTATATAACCACCATTTATTTATTGCATCCATGTCACTGAAAGAGAAAAGGTGAGAAGAGTTAGGATAAGTTGAAAATCATGGAGATGATGATGAATACAAGTGGCGTGAGAGCCTAGGACGAGGGTGGACACAAAGAGGCACTTCTCTTTGGAGGGTGAGCCCATATGCTTCATCCATATTGAGACTTTTTGGGTCAAGCTCATTCTCTAACTCCCAATCAAATGCATGGGCTAGGGTAGCAGTCACCAGCTGAACCTCCATCAGAGCTAAGCTCATACCAGCACAGATTCTACGACCAGCGCCAAAGGGTATAACCTCAAAGTTGTTGCCCCTAACATCCACACCAGCCTTCTCACCACCAAGGAGAAACCTTTCGGGCTTGAACTCCAATGGGTCTGACCACTCCTTAGGGTCACGTCCTATGGCCCAAACATTCACCATGAGAGTTGCACCTTTGGGAATGTGGTAACCTAATATCTCACAGCTCTTTTCAGCAAATCGTGGAATAGAAAGAGGGGTTGGTGGGTGTAATCGCAATGTTTCCTTCACCACAGCCTGTAAGTAAGGGAGTTGGGGCAAGTCAAGTTCTGTCACAAGTCTGTTTTCACCCACAACACTGTCTATTTCTTGTTGCACCTCGACCATAATTCTTGGGTTCCTAATTATTTCAGCCATTGCCCATTCAATTGTGCTTGATGAGGTGTCTGTTCCAGCTCCAAACATGTTCTGCAAAAGATCAATTCTACATGTGATTGTCTGCACAAGATGTGAAAAAAGGTATTGTCATTGTTGTCTTTGGAGAATCTACTTACCAAAAGAATTGCTTTGATCTCCTCTTCACAGAGATTATATCCATCTTGAGGAGTTTCTTTGAGTGACAACAACGTTGCTAAGTATGTGTTTTGGTGTTTCTCATTCATGGAAACCTGATGTTCCTCCAGAATGCTAGTCAAAAATGCGTCAAAGCCCTTGCGTAGTTTTTTTGCTTTGGCTTTTACTCCTTGAAGGTCTAGCCAATCCAAGAATGGAATGAAGTCACCAATATTGAAAACTCCTAACAAGTTCATGAGCTCCAACACCATGGATTTAAACTCATCTGCCTTTGGATCCCACTCACTGTTTCCATCGTTGAAAACTCTTCGTCCTATCATCACCCTTGCCAATGTGTTGGTGGCATACACGTTCAACAACAGTCCCAATTTCACTGCTTTTGAGCCTGAACTTGCCAAATCACATGTCAGTCTTTCTACCTCTTCCTGCAGATATTTTGTTTTGGTTAGTTTATGCAAAAATAAAATTTTTACCAAGAATTTTAACAATACGAAATCTATAACTATTTTAATTAGATAAACAATACGATAATATTGTCAAATGATTAATGGAAATTAATGTGGAAGATAGAAATGACGCTGACCTGACGCACTTCCCTAAAATCGTCCATGGCCCTGCCAGAGAACATGTGAGTTGAGCTTATTTTCCTCAACAACCGCCACCGAGGGCCATAGGAAGCAAACCCAAAATCTTCCTTGTAATAACTCATGTACTTGTTCATGAATCTCCGTGGCCGGTTTGAAAAGTTCGCATCGTGAACCTTCAAGAACTGCTCCGCCACGGAGGCGGAAGCCGCCACCACAACGTCGACAAACCCAAACCGAAGGTGCATGAGCGGGCCATACTTATGGGCCAGGGCCGCAATGGTTTGGTGTGGCGCATGGCCCATGTGAGGCAAGTTTCCCACTACGGGCCATGGGCTTGGCCCTGGTGGCAGTGGTGAATGCGCGGTTTTGAGCTTGAAAAGACGGTAAATAAGGATAGCTGCTACACTGCCAGTAGCAAAAGCTATAAGCCAAGGTAACATGGATATGGATTATGTTTATGTATGTATGTATCAAACGTGCGTTTAACAATGGTGTCTCACACAAAAGCAGCACAACCCAGCTTGTTTATATAAGAATTTTTTGGGAAAGTTGAATAATGAAAGGATAAAAAAAAATATTTATTTTATTTGTGTTATTCAAAGGTTGTGATTGGACATTTTTTTTAATTGTAATTTTTTAATAAATAATTATTTACTAATTTTACTTTTTATGTGTGTTTTTTTTAATTTAATCATTTTAATAAAATACTATTTACAAAAAGAAATCTATAATAAGATTATAAATTTATTATTTCTATACGCAAGTGTTTTTACTATTTATCATAATAAAAATCCTTTTGAACATAGGAGCATCATTATGAGATAAGATTTTATAAATGACGCCAAATTTTCTGTACCAAAAGTATTCATCAACCAAGTAAGCTGTGATATACTTAAAAGCCTAATTATCCAATAATTAATTACTCTTGTTTAATTGTATCACTAAATTTCCTTCTATCTCTAACGTCACACGAGAATTAGATTGGTGTTATTAATTATTGTGCAGGGTTTTATCGATTAAATCTGCCAAACGTTTAACACAATATGTCCAATTAATTAGCCTTAACTAATTTTTAGATTTTTTATATAACTAAAATTTTCCACGTACTGTATAATACATTATATATATTAATAGATACTTTGATTGGTATAGAAGATTAATATATTAGAGGTATAATAAAAAAAATGTGGCATCCAAGCACTCGATGGTAAAAGATTTTAGTAAATTTAGATGCTACAACAGTGTTTTATTTTCAATAATGAAAACGGGTGTTTACTCATATTAAATGTAATCGTTTTCCAAAACATATTAAATGTATTCAAATATGTTACATCAGCCTAAGTATGGCAGATTTATTCAATGCTTGAAAGTGATGAGATTTAATTTTTAATTTTCTTGAGACTTATATATGTATACAAAATACATAATCCAGTCTGTTCATCAGATAAGATATTGAAGAAGAAGAAAAATAGTAAAACTCCTTTTTGGAAAGTAATTTGAAGATGAAATATGTTACAATTTTATAGTTAAATTTGAAAGAAATAGAATTTATAGGATAGACGTTACAATAATGTTTTATAAGTCTCAAAGGTCATTACATGAATCGAAAACATTCTAGATAAAATTAAACAGTTCAAGAAAAAATCCAATTAAATAAATTTCTTCCACTTAAAGTGATAAGAAAAATATTATATATATTTTGTTCATTCTGAAATAACTTATACAATTTAATTTTTCTGCACTTAAAAAGAGTAATTAAATTAAAAATGTAATTACAGCATTACAAAAGTAACTAATTTATCTTAATTTGTGAATTGAGTTTTAGCTGAAGGAGTCGAATCTGACTATACATGCATCTAGTATGTCAAAGAACGTCAAAAGAATAGTACACTGCATACACATCAAGAGAGAGAGAGAGACAGAGAGAGAGAGAGAGGAGCAGCACGTAAGAGAGGAAATTGAATTTTGATGGTGCCGTTATTTTCAGCCATTGGATGAATGCACTGTGTAGGATCTAGACAGGTGTCTATTACACTAAAAAATATCAGTTAAATTTTATATTACCATACATAAAAGCAAATCCATTAATCAAAATGTTTTTCCCTTTTTAAAAGCAAGTAGTAGAAGTAGAATTTTAAGTAAAGATTAATAATCCATAATAGAGAAAAATACTTCGAATATATAACATGTAAAAAATACAATAAAATTGATAAAATAACAAATAAGAATTAATTAAACTCAAGATTCGTATTGTGATAGAGATCTTCACATATCTCTTCTTTTGTTGTTACCGAATGATGGATAGAATCTTGCCGAGTGGCAACAAAACTGAAGAATAGTTGAACGGTTGAAGACTAACAAACGACTGAAGATTACCGAACAGTGAATATTCGGAAGCCGTTCGATTACTATGTTTTAGAATTGTTTAGGTTAATTCTGTTTTTTTTTTCTCTTCTTTTTATATTTATTTCTCGGTTCCCCTGTATCTGAACTATTTTTTAGTGATATTCATTAACTATTATGCTTTATATGGATTTCTTGTTCTCTCTTCTCAAACACTCACATATTGTGTAAACAAATAAAACCAAAACTTTAATGAAAAAATAAAATTTATTATATTGAGAAATTTAAAAAAAAAAATTACAGTCCAATTAACCTGTGACGTAAGAACACTGAAATTACTTTTTAATTAGTGTGGTGAAGGTCATGTTACGTCCTATAAAAAAATATAGTTTTGAAAAGTATTTCCCTCGATATCAATAAAAGAATGGGAAAGACTTGAGAGGTGAAAAGTTAGTATAAAACACCAACAGTATTAATTTTCTCAATATAATATTATTCTTTCTATATTTTTCTTTGTGTATCTAGAATCATTAATTTCGTGTCTTCAGAACTAAAAAAAAGTCATAATTTAATTCTTCGTGTTCCTTCGTGTGTTTATCTTCTTATACTTTCTCCATCTTCTATTTCTTTTCTAGAATGATTAATTTATTGTTTTCAAATAAATAATTAAGAAAAGTTATATATATATATNTTATGCAAATATATGATAAAAAGTTCAGGGTAACCACGTTTTAACATTTCGATTCTTCAACTTTTCTTCAGCAGATTTTAAAACAGAAAATTACTTTCATAAATTTATTGATTTCTTTTATTTTAGAATAAAAATATTAATAAGTTAAATATGTTTATTACTTTTATCAACCTATTTATAATAAATATATTAAAAATATAAGGAGTGAAATATTTTATTTTGTCTATCATATTCATCAAATTATTCATAAACTTTCTCTATCTCTTAAAATAAAAAACTGCTCCGATATTTTTTCTATCTTTTCAAATTTATCCATTCATTCTCTCTTAAATATTCTCTCTCATCCAAATACACCAATAAAAAAAATATTTATCAACAACAAATAAGTAAAAATAAAATACAAAAATGTGAATATAAAATATATTAAAAAAAGCACAACATAAACTCTTAGAATGTGGTTTATAACCATTACAAGAAAGAGTGTTATACAATTCATCATTATTGTCTAACTTGCTTTAAACATTCAATTAAAACACTGACAAATTGAAAGAAAATGTAAGCAATTATATAACCACCATTTATTTATTGCATCCATGTCACTGAAAGAGAAAAGGTGAGAAGAGTTAGGATAAGTTGAAAATCATGGAGATGATGATGAATACAAGTGGCGTGAGAGCCTAGGACGAGGGTGGACACAAAGAGGCACTTCTCTTTGGAGGGTGAGCCCATATGCTTCATCCATATTGAGACTTTTTGGGTCAAGCTCATTCTCTAACTCCCAATCAAATGCATGGGCTAGGGTAGCAGTCACCAGCTGAACCTCCATCAGAGCTAAGCTCATACCAGCACAGATTCTACGACCAGCGCCAAAGGGTATAACCTCAAAGTTGTTGCCCCTAACATCCACACCAGCCTTCTCACCACCAAGGAGAAACCTTTCGGGCTTGAACTCCAATGGGTCTGACCACTCCTTAGGGTCACGTCCTATGGCCCAAACATTCACCATGAGAGTTGCACCTTTGGGAATGTGGTAACCTAATATCTCACAGCTCTTTTCAGCAAATCGTGGAATAGAAAGAGGGGTTGGTGGGTGTAATCGCAATGTTTCCTTCACCACAGCCTGTAAGTAAGGGAGTTGGGGCAAGTCAAGTTCTGTCACAAGTCTGTTTTCACCCACAACACTGTCTATTTCTTGTTGCACCTCGACCATAATTCTTGGGTTCCTAATTATTTCAGCCATTGCCCATTCAATTGTGCTTGATGAGGTGTCTGTTCCAGCTCCAAACATGTTCTGCAAAAGATCAATTCTACATGTGATTGTCTGCACAAGATGTGAAAAAAGGTATTGTCATTGTTGTCTTTGGAGAATCTACTTACCAAAAGAATTGCTTTGATCTCCTCTTCACAGAGATTATATCCATCTTGAGGAGTTTCTTTGAGTGACAACAACGTTGCTAAGTATGTGTTTTGGTGTTTCTCATTCATGGAAACCTGATGTTCCTCCAGAATGCTAGTCAAAAATGCGTCAAAGCCCTTGCGTAGTTTTTTTGCTTTGGCTTTTACTCCTTGAAGGTCTAGCCAATCCAAGAATGGAATGAAGTCACCAATATTGAAAACTCCTAACAAGTTCATGAGCTCCAACACCATGGATTTAAACTCATCTGCCTTTGGATCCCACTCACTGTTTCCATCGTTGAAAACTCTTCGTCCTATCATCACCCTTGCCAATGTGTTGGTGGCATACACGTTCAACAACAGTCCCAATTTCACTGCTTTTGAGCCTGAACTTGCCAAATCACATGTCAGTCTTTCTACCTCTTCCTGCAGATATTTTGTTTTGGTTAGTTTATGCAAAAATAAAATTTTTACCAAGAATTTTAACAAAACGAAATCTATAACTATTTTAATTAGATAAACAATACGATAATATTGTCAAATGATTAATGGAAATTAATGTGGAAGATAGAAATGACGCTGACCTGACGCACTTCACTAAAATCGTCCATGGCCCTGCCAGAGAACATGTGAGTTGAGCTTATTTTCCTCAACAACCGCCACCGAGGGCCATAGGAAGCAAACCCAAAATCTTCCTTGTAATAACTCATGTACTTGTTCATGAATCTCCGTGGCCGGTTTGAAAAGTTCGCATCGTGAACCTTCAAGAACTGCTCCGCCACGGAGGCGGAAGCCGCCACCACAACGTCGACAAACCCAAACCGAAGGTGCATGAGCGGGCCATACTTATGGGCCAGGGCCGCAATGGTTTGGTGTGGCGCATGGCCCATGTGAGGCAAGTTTCCCACTACGGGCCATGGGCTTGGCCCTGGTGGCAGTGGTGAATGCGCGGTTTTGAGCTTGAAAAGACGGTAAATAAGGATAGCTGCTACACTGCCAGTAGCAAAAGCT